CAGCCATGCTGGCTGGGGAATTCTGGGAGTTGAAGTCCACTCATCTTAAAGTGGCCAAGTTTGGACAACACTGACTTATAGTCTTGCAATTGGAGAAGAAATGGGAGAGCATGATGTCAGGATTTTTGTTTTGATTGATTTATTGACTGTGTGGCATCAAGTTGATGTTGACTCTTAGTGACCACATAGAAAGATTTTCTCTATCATGATCTGTCCCTAACCTGATCCTTCAGATCTTCCAATGGTGCACCTATTGGCACTGTAACTGAGTCCATCCACCTTACTGCTGGTCATTCTCTTCTCTTGCCATCCACCTTTCCCAGCATCAGAGCCTTCTCCAAAGACCTGGATCTTTGCATAATGTATCCGAAGTAGGATAATTTGAGACTTGTCATTTGTGCCTTGAGTGAGAACTCTGGGTAAAATGCTCTGTAGCTACAGCTCTGTAGCTCTGCAAGGTTTTGAGTTAGATTGCATGGTTATTCAGTTATGCAATTGCATAGTTATGTAGTTCCAGCAATTGGACCGGCTGAATTGTGCCTTCAGTGATAACTCTGGGTAAAATGCTCTGTAGCTACAGCTCTGTAGCTCTGCAAGGTTTTGAGTTAGATTGCATGGTTATTCAGTTATGCAATTGCATAGTTATGTATTAAAATTAGACATCACTCTCAATAGTTGAGCAACTACCCTGTTGTTAAAAGAAAAAAATGGAGGAAAACTACAACTTTCATACCTCTCCTCCCCCTCCCACCTCCGAAAGCTGAAATTAGGATAATATAGAAAACCAATACTACACCTCAGGAGATGTTATAAAAGTTATAGTGCTTAGAGATTAGCATAAGTACAATTTAGTAATTCACAGAAATGCAATCAGTAATAACCAAAAATGTCATACATTTGAAAAAGTGTATTAAGGAAGAAACAACATCAGGAACAACACTTTGGAAAACATGTTATGTACTGCATGAGTGAACAAGAAGTTGTAATACAGAGAAAAATCCTTGAGTAGATTGACCCATATAGAGTAGGATGCAACTGTTCTGTAAAGCTCAATCTCAAGCTATTGTGGAGGGCACTGAGGTGGATCTTCTAAGTTTTTTCCATACAGTCATCCCATTTACACAATTTTAATCATACACCTTCCCCAGTGACATAAGCTGGAATAACAAGACTCCTACATCTCTGGACATGTAAAAAAAGTAAATGTTGCTGTAGATAGATAGGCCTCCTAAATCTCACCCAAGGTGCCTTGAGCTTACGCAGTTCTATAAGGCTACACTATTTTTTTGTTTTTTGTTAATTGAGATATTCCTGTGTTGCAATTACACATTGTATTCTGCATGTACAAGACTGAGGAGATGGAATATTTCCTTGTGCAAAAACATTTCTAGTATTGAAAACTAGCATATAGCAGAGGATACTAAGCTATAATCATTCTTGTTGCTATTGAGTTGAATCCAGAGAAAGAGGAAACTTTCTTTTTTCTTAGAATTACAGGAGAAGCTATTTAGGCTATTATGTCCTGCTCAGCACAGAAATCCAAATTAAAGTATCTTAAGAGATCAGCAATGGGAACCTTGCATTTTCCCACACAACTGGGTTTCATTATCAAATTGGTCTTCCAATAGGAAGATTGTCATAATATACAACCTGAATCTAACTTCCTAGGAAACAGCAGCAACTGAGACCGTTATTCTGTGTCCTGTACTTTAAGAATATCCATTGGTCTTCTGTATGATTCTCCTTCAGTTGTTGCATAATGCTAATGTATCTCCCCTACTCTTCTCTCCAAGCTATGCATATCAATTTCATCAATATCTCTTCAGATGGAGGTTTTCATTCATCTGATCATTTTTATTACCATTTCTGTACCTGTTCCAATTTGTCTCAATCCTTTCTTAAAGTGGGATGCCTGAAACTGGACATGGTTCTCCAGGTGGCTCTGATTAATGCTGAATAGAGTGGAACTATTACGTTCTGCGATTAGGAGACTATGTTTCCATTAATGCAGCCTAACATCATGTTTGCTATTTTTGCAGCCATATCACACTGCTGACTCCATACTCAGCTTCAAGTATCTATTTACATATATTATTCTCAAGCCATATTTTCCATATCAGATAGATGTCCATTTTTCTTTTTCCTGTGTTAAGAGCTTACACTTCTGCTAAATTTCATTCTTTTGTTTGCAGCCCATCTCTCCAACCCACCAAAATCACTTTGAATTTGTTGCTGTCTGCTTAGCTATCCTACCCAGTTCTATATCATCTACAATTTTGATAAGCACTCTGCCTACCTTTTCATTCAAGTCATTAATAAAAATGTTGAATTGATGGAACCCCCTCACTACCTCCTCCTCTAGTTTGATGAGGAACAACTGATAAACACTCCTTGAGCACTACAATGTTCAACCCACCTGTGAATTCCACAGTAATCAGGAATTCAGTCCATACTTAAGTAATCATGGGACATTTTATCATGCTGAAAACAAGTTATATCTACAGCATTCCCACAATCTACTGTGGATATTTAACAAAGGAGGAACTCAGGTAAGCTGATAAAAAGTTGCCTGGTTTCCACAGCATTTGTCATTTTCTATCTTCCATTCCCCACCCCCACCCCCATGTCTGTATCTGAAGATTCTTTTAGATCTACAAGGAGGTTGCCTAACTCCTTTTCCAATAATAACATATATATTTTAGGTAATTAATTTTTAATTTATCAAATAAAGTATTTTTAAGTAGCAAGATGCTGAATCCTTCTTATATCCTTCTTATTCAAAAAAGAATTGAGTTGGAGCCCTGTGAACCAAGATAATTGATCAGCTATTTGTGACTCGATCTCTTCTTTATTATGTAGCATCTTATTATTGTAACAACCTCTTAAAGGCCACACTCTTTCCATCAATTGAACTGGACTGGGATGCTGTCATCCGAATTAAACCCAATAATCACTGGAGTATGACCTGAAATGCATATTGGTTCAACTTCTACTCACTGAAGTCAATTCAAAAATGTTTTTAAACCCCAAAGATAATTTATCTTTGGATGAGAACGGTGCCTACCTGAATAATATGTAAATCTTACTGTTGAGGGACAATTTCTGTAATGTTTTAGATACTAAAGTTGTCTTTTAATTTTATGTTGTTTTTTAAAATTATGTTTTAAGCATCCGGTAGCACCTTTTCCAATTAACCAATTTTATTAAAAAGCATGAACTTCAGTCTTGTTAAGGCTGATAGTCAGTATAAAGAGCATAGCAGCTTCTGCGAATTTGTTCAGCATCAAGCCTCAGCATCAAGCTAAGCCTAAAATAAGCAACATAAAGGACCCTGGGAACCCATTTCTAGCCTCAATAAAATAATAACTGTTTGACTACCGAAACAGTCCAAAGTGCTGTTTATTTTCTTTAATAATAACTGGTTGACATTGCATGAAGATATGACTGTTAAGACGTGACTGATAATGCTCTGTAAATGTGAATATGTTAGATAATAGCTTCTCCTTTTTAAAAAATGAATATATGTTAGTTAATAGCTGCAGTATTATCTTTCCTCTAATTCTCCTCTTCTGACTGATTTTAGTATAATGTTGCTGTTATTATTATTTTACTTTATTTTTATTCTTATTCTTGATGCTATGCAAACACACTGAGAGCTTTTTGCACCGAAGTCAAGTTCCTTGTATGTTTACATACTTGGCCAATAAAACATTCTATTCTATTCTATTCTATTCTATTCTATTCTATTCTATTCTATTCTATTCTATTCTATTCTATTCTATTCTATTCTATTCTATTCTATTCTATTCTATTCTATTCTATTCTATTCTATTCTATTCTATTCTATTCTATTCTATTCTATTCTATTCTATTCTATTCTATTCTATTCTATTCTATTCTATTCTATTCTATTCTATTCTATTCTATTCTATTCTATTCTAATAACGCACATACACAATTAAGGACTTTCGCATTTTCAGCACTACATACATTTACATAGTAGATATAAAAAATTCCGTGTTCCGATGGCTTTTAAGGACATATTAAACACTGACTAATTAATCAGTTCCCACTGAAACGGAAGCCGTGATCCTTATTCCTTATATTAGCGGCGATTACATGCACTCTGCATGTGCTCAGAGATCCCACTTTTCATAACGATAGATTATAATTCCCAAGATCTAACCTTGGTTTAGAAAAAAGGATCCAAAGCTGAACCTTAATGAGCCCACACTTCTATTAAAACATCGCGTATTCCACCCACCCACTCACGCACGATTGTAACTTACCTCCCCTTTTTCGCCTCAACAAGGAAGCCCAAAGTCCACGTGACTTGGCCGCACTGCGTGACTCTCTGCACGATCTTCTTCGTTGAAAACTACTGAAAGCTGGAACGAAAACTCCTTTTCCCAGCAACCTTTGCGTAAACAAACATGCGCTCAGTCAACGAAAACTACAATTCCCGACGTACAATGTTGGACCACAATTCCCAGATGGTGTCAGGCGACGCCTGCGCAGCGTTTACAGGCGCTCGGGCCATTTAAATGTGTGTGAGGGAGACAGCGAAATGGCTGCGCAGGTCGCTGCAGTACGCGCCGTGTCTCGGGGCGCGGAAGAGACGCCTTCGCTGCCACTCGGTGACCGGCCTGGTCGACCGAGGGGAGGGGGGAGGAAGCGGAAAGGTCCACTTGGGGATGTCGGGAGCTGCAAGAGGGCTAAGTTGAGCCAGCCCCCGCTTGCAGTGAGGCCCTCTCAGGCAGAGCCGCTGCCACCGGCCTCCGTTCCCGGCCTCCCAGCGGCTCCTGCCGTGCCTTCCGCTCCCGCTGGGCTTTTCACTTTCTCCCCGCTTAGCCTGCCCCCGCAGGCCTTGCACTGCGAGCGGCGACACCACCACCGACATCGGCATCGTCCGGACAGTGGCGACTCGGAGCCCGGACGTTCCTCTGGGGAGAAGCCCCACAAGGGTAGGCGGGGAAGCTCTGGTGATGGGGCTCTTGGGCGGCCCAGCAAGCGAGGTGAGTGGAGCTGGGGGGACCGGGACGGTTTGGACTCGGAGCCCTGGATCGCCCCCATGATGTTGTATCTCCCTTAGGCGCACGCGCTGCGCTCCACTCCCAAACGTCTGTTGTCAGTTACCTGCTCCTGTCTTCGGCCCGTCCGCGGACCTCATTTCGAGAGGCCGCGTGAGGCTTCTCTGACCTAACCTGGCATTAAGGAATTCGTGATAAATTGATGAACCCAGGGACGAAAGACTCAAAGGATTTGGTACAGCAGTGGTAGAAAGACAGAGTTTTTCTGTATGAAAAAGACTTGCCAAGTGAAGTCCTGGGGCGTGTTATACCAGTTGGAGAGCTTTCCTTAGTTTGTCACTTTGCTTAACGAGGTTGTTGTAAACTCAGTCGGCGTCAGGACCTTTTTTATGCTTTACTTTCTTGTTGCTTTCTCAGGAAAGAAATGTATGTGTGTGCCTGTATGTGTGTGTGTGTATGTGTGTATATATATATACACACACACACACATTGTATATATATATATATGTAGAAAGAGAGGGAGACACACACACACAATATACAATAAATCTTCTCCAGGCATACATATAAGGTATTCAGTTGCCAATTTTGTCGAGGGTTGAAGGGTGATCTAAAAGTTCACCTAGGTAGTGCCTTAATTGTTTTTAATTAAGATTTATCTTGATGTCAGTTAATAGTAGTGAGATTATTATCTGTTATGGCAACCTGTTCCTTCAAATAGGAGATTGTGTATTATGCCAGAATTCTTAATTGGTCCAAACACATGTTTGTAAATCAAACAAGTTCAGTTATTGTATACTTTACATGGGAAAATAATTAAATGGCTGTTTGGGGATGAATATCAATGAATAGGTAAATACTGCAACATGAATAATGTAAATATATATAAACTTGCTAAAAGTCTTGACTAGAGGTTAAAGTTTTTGAACAAGTAAATAGTTGCTCTGGTTTTGTTCTTTTAATGTAGTTACTGATGTGACTTTAAATGATTAAGAACTTGTTATGTAGGTGTGTTGTGCTGCAAACTAGTCGGGAGAATATAGCACTGCTGTCTACAGGTTTCTAGTTTTTTTTGAAGACAAACTTTTAAATGCTTAAAAGCACAAATGCTTTCTAACTCTAAAAACAATTGATTTTCTTTAAAAAGTTAGATGAGAGCATAGTAGATCCTCTCAGTCTAAAGTTTACTACTGAGGAGGAGGCACAATGAGGTAATGATGTTTATGTGTTCAATTTTGTAAAGTTACCATCTCTGCCACAAACTAATTAAACAGAATATAAGCCACTCATAGGTGAACAGCTTACCATATGATAGGGTATCTCACCATCTGCTTGTTTAACTTTGTTCATTATTACCTAGTACAATTTTAAATGTAACATAAATGTTTATGTAGAATAAAAGCAGGAATATTTCCTGAGTGCTTAGGCTTTCCCACATGATTCTTTCATTTAGCATTAATAATGGTTTGTTCTTTACATAACTTGGAATTGTTTCAATGGAGGACTTAATTATTTGTAGATGATACTTATTTGGAGTTGTTCATTTACAGCTTAATAAAGTAAATTAGGGATTCTGATTCCTGTTTAGAAGTAGAAACAATATACAGGGATATTGTAAATATGGCTCCAGAATTTGAATATGCCTATATAATATAGGCCTACAAACAAAATCATAATATATAATATTGATGACTTCAGAATCAGAGGTACAAAAATGGATTAGGTAAAATATTCTATAATACTGAAAACCACTAGATAGCTAAAATCTGTTAAATCTGAAATGATTAAAAAAATCTAGTGTAATATTGTAGCAGCTGAACATAAATACATACTGAAGTGAAATGGGGAGCAACTACTGAAGTTTCACCTGAGTTAAGATGTTTTGAATGTTAAAATATATATGCTGCAAGGTTCATTATCATTCTGTGCTAGCCTGTGCAAACTCTTATGTGGTTATAACCCATATTACTTGATGTGTGTATGTATAAAAAGTTCAATTGTTAAAAATAGTTTAACAGATGAATTCAGGCTATCATATATAGAAATGAAACTTCTGATTTGTGAACTTCTGATCAACTTCTAGAATGATCAAAATGATTGTGATCCTTCTAGCTCCTTTGTTTGCATTATAAATAGAAGCTCACTCAAACCAGAGAATCTCTAAAAATTTAGTTATATATATATAATATATACATACACACACACATCATAACAGCATTTTAAACCAAGTATAAACTCTTGGTTTGTTTAATGCTGTAGTTTTCCTTGAATGAAATAGGTATCAGTAATTAATTAGAAGTTCCTAGATATGAACTTCAGCTGTAGGCAACTCTAATGTTGATTTCCTAATAGGAGAAAAGTAGTCCAGACTTACTCCAAGCAGTGCTTTAAAAGAAGAAACTACCTAAGTAGCAAAGAACCCACAGCATAGAAAAGAAATGCTGAAGTGTTTGCTCAAATTAATGCTTAAAAAGAGATTTAAAAATGTTTGCATTAAAGATAAAGATGAAGCATCCCTACTTTTTGCTTCCCAATGAAATTCTTTCTGCTGGAGTTCAAATTATATTGGAAAAAAATGAGTTTTGTCCCTCCACTGTGCTGTTAAATATTCTGCTCTCTGTAAGGAAGTCACATCAATTTGCATTTTCTGCATAAGGCTGGTGATAAATCTTTTCTAAAGACATACAATGACTATTGAGTGTGCCATCTTGTTTAACATGAAGCCATAGCAGTTTATAAATCATGCTTAATCATATAGTGTGTTGTGTGAATCCAGCTTATTCAGTAGACTGTGGTTTATATGAGGTATATACAACAGGGACATATGTGCTGCTGAATTCAAATTTATTCCTTTCCCAAGTTTAGGCTTTGTGAGGGGGGAATACTGATTAAGTGCCACTTCATCAGTATAGAAACACAGGCTATTGCTTATGAGGATGATTTTCAGCTAATCTCTTTTATCTCTCTGTCATGGTTTCTCCTAGAGATTTATGCTTGGTAGATACTTTTGCTGTTTTCACAAGTGTAATTTACCTGAAATAGTAAATGCTTTAATGTTCATAAAACTTTAAACTAAGGCTAGTTGGAATATATTTTACTTTACAGCAAGAAAATATTTAAGGAAAAGATTGTTACAGGTAAGGAATGCTCTGAAATCAAGTAAAAGAAGAAATGTATCAGCCTGGTTTTTTTTTTTTTTTTAATTCCATAGACTTTTCATCTGTATTGAGAAACATAGCGGTAAGAGAGTTTAGTGGAGGAGAATAACACTGACCACACTGTTTCATAGACTAAGAACCAAGGTAGGTTTAGCAGCTGTAAGGAAGTCAGGTTCCTAAGAAGAAATAAACAAAGTTACCAAAAATAAGCAGGATGAAGATAAGAAGTCAGAAGGGGAGAAGGTGTTTTCCAATTGATTACATGGTGTTAGATGAATAACTGTTTGCCTGTTGGTGTGGGCTTGTGTTTGGTGCAGTGAACTCCATGCCATTTCTTTGCAACTAAGGTAGCTGAGGTGGAGATACTTAGAGATATTTTCAGCTCTTCAAGGTAGGCCGTCTCGGGAAACAGATTCCACAAATCTGATTAGAACTATGCTTTACTGATATAGGCTATAGTAGCAGAATCTTGAAAGCTGATTGAGTTTTCACCTCCATATAGTGCATTAGGGAGAAGTCAGTTTGAGCTTCTCACATTTTTGCTGTTTCCCTGTCTTAAAGTATGACTTCATTTATGTAACCATCATTGTCTTTGCCTAGTTTCCCCAAGGTCATCTCTGTGGATCTTTACAGGTATATAGAACTAGCTTTGTGTCACTCCCAGAAGTGATAGCTCCTTTGCTGTTTGGGAGAATGAGGGTCCAGGAAAGGCTGTCATTTTGAGGATAAGCAGATATTTTTATAAGACCTAATCCTTGGGTGATGAATTTGCATGCTCCTTCAGGGAATGTACATATTTTGGTTGTGGGTTATTTGTCACTGAAACATAAAGAGAAGAATTGTGATTGGTGTGTAGATCACATGGAGACCTGCTTGCCTGATCTGGAGGTGTGCACATTGCATGCTGTCTAGATAGGGTCTGGAAAGTGCAGAGGAAGAGGCAGTGCTTGTGGTCTAGTTTGGTACCAATGGCATAAGAAAATATAATCAGCCAGCCCTGGAAGTCAAATTGAAATTATTAGGTAGCAGATTATAGTACAGGACTGCCAAAATAGTTTTCTCAGAAGTACTTTCTGTTTCACATACATGCTGATGAGATAGTAGTTCAGACAGAGGGGTTTAGATTTGTTAGGAATTTGAAAAATACTGTGGTGTATATCTGTGGTGGTGCTAGAAGTACTTGGTTGCAAATAAGAATATAGATATAGTGATGTGGTGGAATGGCTAAACCCATATGGTGGAAGGTTGAAGATCTCCAACCTTCTCTCCTAGAAACCCTCTGGGTCTTTGCACCTCCTGCTTTGGTTAGTGGTTTGGTAGTTCCTGCTGCCACTACCTATCTTCCAGAGTGTGTCTCACTTGCTGTCTTCCTCTTAAACCTAGTGTGTGTGAGAGAGAAGCCTTTCACAATCTGTACTGTTTTCTGGTGATTAAAAAAAATTTTTTTTTTTAAATCTATAATGCAACTTTCTGGCTATGCACCTCAAAGGCATGTAACTAGAGGTTTCAGCCCTTTATTTCTTTCTTGGGAGATAGACCAATCTCACTAGAGATAAAATCAAACTTATTTGAAAGAAAAAAAAGAAACCATAATTATTTTTAATGTTAGATACTAAGATGAAAACATTTCCTGTTGAAGGAATAAATATTGTAGAGAGGAAAGAAGATGACCTTGACAGAAATATGCAAGAACCATTACCTGGGCAAGGGCTGAAACATATTCTAAGTCCATAGCAACAAGATAACACTTGGAAGTGGGTCAGGCAGAAACCTCTGTAATTCACTGGAGTATAAGGAGGATGAGACTTGCATAATTCTGTTATTATA